TTCCAGTGGGAAAGCAGTAGCATCTCATAAAGGAGAATTTTAAACTTGGCAAGAAGAGTTTTCTGCTGATCTGAATGGGGTTCCTGTCCCACACTATAGCTTCTAGAAGCTTCTAGAAGCAACCTAAAAAGCAGAGTTTTTCTCCCACTCCTTTACTGTTGCCTCTGTGTATGTATACAGACGTTACTCACTTTTCCCGGCTGGCGATGATTTCTGTCCATTGTTGACACTGCTGGTCGTTGCCATCTTTGTGCTGCGGCTGCTTGGAGAAGAAAGCCTCCGACAGGCACAGGCTGCGTTCAGCCCCACTCTTCCTTTCTCCCGGCCGGCCTGAGCACCAGCCTGCCTTTGTGAGAAAGCAGCTATTAAGCAGACACAGCAGGCGAAGTTTAGAAGTCAGGAGTTTCATTCCTTGCCTAATGAAAAGGGATGTTGAGCTGTGGTTTCTGCCTGCAGGAAGCGTGGGGAGAGGAGTCGCCGTTTGCTCGGTAGAGCGGGCATCGGTGGAAAGCAAACCCACTACCTTCTATACCCTCCCAGGTCTTAAACGTCAGAGTGTCCCCAAACCTAGGCCACAGAGGCTGGCTTGTGTAAGATACGGAGATTGCCCTGCCGAGAAGTCGTGACAAGGCAGCAGAAGCAGGATCTTGTTCTCATTTTCTGTATGTACAGCTGTTAGTAGACAGGCATGTCATATATGTACTTTGCCTCCTGGAAGAAAAAGGTACATAGTATATTCCTTTCAGGAACAGCACTGTGGTGAGTCTACCACTCTTGGTGTTTGCTCCTCACTTCTTTTGAGATAAGAGCAGGTATTTCTGCACTGGGTCGTTCCCCCAGATCCTCTCTCTAGAAGCCCTTGTGTCAGACTGATGGAGGTTTTCTGTGGATGGCTCACCCGGGGCCCTTTCTGCAGCAGTGAGCAAACAAGGACCAAAGCAACTGCAGCACAGGGTGGGAGACCTGGGTCTCCCTGAGCGGGCATGAGACCATTTAGCAACTTCGTCGGTGAGCCCTCATGCTGGGCGGCCTGGGTCCAGTGTACCATTTACTCTTTAGAGGTTGCCCTGGGCAGGCAGCGTTTGTAGTTAGTATCTACAGATAATAACAAAACTTTCACTTTCGTCTCTGTTTTGGTAAGAACTAACAATAAGAACTATTTCTCAGCTTAAGTATGATCTGTTGTTGCTTAGTCGTTCAGATTCTTTGCGACGCCATGGACTGTAGCCTGCCAGGCTCCTCTGTCCATGGGATTTCCCAGACAAGAATACTGAAATGGGTTGCCATTTCCTTCTCCAGAGGATCTTCCTGACCCAAGGGTTGGACCCAGGTCTCCTGCATTTCAGATAGATTCTTTACCACTGAGCTACCTGGGAAGCCCTTAAATATGATATTGCCTCCTGACTGACTATAAATGAAATTTACAAAATGTACCTGAAATCTTATCTAATTTAGCAGTTTTATCTAAAGTATGAAAAGAGGAAGTCTGAGGTTTTTGTAAAATTAATGCCTGAATGCAACCAACTATCTAATATCTTTTTAGGAACAAGGTAAGCAGCCTACTCAAACTCATGTCCATCATGCTAGTGATGCCATCCAACCATCTCATCCTCTGTCATCCCTTCTCCTCCCACCCTCAGTCTTTCCCTGCATCAGGGTCTTTTCCAGTGAGTCGGTTTTTCACATCAGGTGGCCAGAGTATTGGAGTTTCAGCTTCAGCATCAGTCCTTCCAGTGAATATTCAGGACTAATTTCCTTTAGGATGGACTGGTTGGATCTCCTTCCAGTCCAAGGGACTCGCAAGAGTCTTCTCCAACATCACAATTCAAAAGCATCATTCTTCAGTGCTCAGCTTTCTTTATAGTGCAACTCACACATCCAGGCAGGACTACTGGAAAAACAATAGCCTTGACTAGACAGACCTTTGTTGGCAAAGTGATGTCTCTGCTTTTTAATATGCTGTCTAGGTTTGTCATAGCTTTTCTTCCAGGGAGCAAGCATCTTTTAATTTCATGGCTGCAGTTACCATCTGCAGTGATTTTGGAGCCCAAGAAAGTAAAGTCTGTCACTGTTTCCATTGTTTCCCCATCTCTTTGCCATGAAGTGATGGGACCGGATGCCATGATCTTAGTTTTTTAAATGTTGAGTTTTGTGCCAACTTTTTCACTCTCCTCTTTCACTTTTATCAAGAGACTCTAGCTCCTCTTTGCTTTCTGCCATAAGGGTGATGTCATGGGTATCTGAGGTTATTGACATTTCTCCCAGCGATCTTTATTCCAGCTTGTGCTTCAGCCAGTCTGGCATTTTGCATGATGTACTCTGCATATAAGTTAAATAAGCAATGTGACAATATACAGCCTTGATGTGCTCCTTTCCAATTTGGAACCAGTCCATTGTTCCATGAAAGTTCCTAACTCTTGCTTTTTGACCTGCATTCAGGTTTCACAGGAGGCAGGTCAGGTGGTCTGCTATTCCCATCTCTTGAGGGATATTCCAGTTTCTTGTGATCCATATAGTCAAAGGCTTTAGCATAGACAATGAAGCAGAAGTAGATGTGTTTCTGGAATTCTCTTGCTTTTTCTATGAACCAACGGATGATGGCAATTTGATCTCTAGTTCCTCTGCCTTTTTAAGATTAAGACTTCATTTTTAAAAAGTTCTGGTTTGTTTCAAATGTCATATGCGTACTGTTATCCATATTTTCTGTTTGGAGTATGGTGGTTTTTCCCCTTGGGTTAGTATGTTTAACCTTGGTTAAGTCCTACTAAATTTCTGCTTATGTCATAAAGCTCATTTGGGATCACAGAGAGAAAGAAGAATTTTAGTTTACCACCTCACTGCTTTTACAAAGAACGTGTTTTCTGACTTACTGCCCAGACCCTGTTCTTTTTTTCCTCATAGTATATGAGGTGCTCTCCAGCCCCCAGGAGAGGCCAGGCATTCAGCAATGTTCTCACATGAACCATCTGTTTACTGGGTAGGTCCATTTATTTTGGTTGTCCTGATTGTTAGAACAGGAGAAGGCTGTAGGCAATTTGTGCCCCCACAGGACCTGCAGAAAGCTAAGCATGCCTCGCCCTGAAGGGAGGCAGCTTACAATTGGGGTGACGGTGAGCTTGTCTTGCCTCACAGCAGGTTTGTTCCCAAGACCCTCCTTTGAGTTTACGGTAGCAAAATGGGGAAAGCTTGTTGGTGGCAGGGGAGACTGTAGAAACATAACACAGTCCGGGGATACACACAGGGCTTAGGAGCTGAAAGAGTTGGAGCTACTGTTAGAATGGAGACCCTAAGAGACCAGGGGCTAAACCTTGAGAATCAGCCCCCATCTGTGGTCATCATCAGATTCCCTGAATGATAAAGCACTGGACTAAAATTAAATGGAGGAATTCTGACCCACTTGGAATATCTAAAGCCCTTGCCTTGATTCAAATTCAGGAGGAACTGTGGCATTCAAGGAACTTGTAAATATTTTCTTTCCATTAACAGTTCAGAAGAGAGCAAGTTACAGTTTTTTTAAATTCTTTATTTTGATTTCTTACCCTCATCACGGAATGGAAACTGAGTAGAAAGGGAAGTGTTTTGTTTGTTGTTTCTGAACAGAAGGTGTTTCAGATAAGTTGAGTTAGAGATAGGTCCCCTGGGTGGAAAGGGCGAGTGATGAGGGCCACGTATGTAAGAAATGACTCTTCCACATTGCACTCAGCAACTCCCACCCAGTTTGATTTGCGAATTGGATTTAGAAAGTTAGGACTCGAGAGTAATACCTCTAGTTCTGGTCGTTTGTGGAGCCTGAGTGCAAGGAAGGCTGCAGTGTGGTCTGGGCAGTTTACTTTAACACTTTCTCTGAGATATGGAAACCCTAGAAAGTCTAGTTCATGAAGCAGACACATTCCTGAATCTTACTCTGTCCCTAAACACAAGTGTTCCTTACATGGCAGTATGCACAAAGTGTTAATCACTCAGTCATGTCTGACTCTTTGCAACCCCATGGACTATAGCCGGCTCTATCCATGGGATTTCCCAGCAAGAATCCTGGAGTGGATTGCCATTTCCTCCTCAAAGTATGTGCAAAGGTCTTAACTAATTGCTTAGTGCTGTACCACCACCTTTGAGTCTGCGGTCCTTCATTGTTACACGAGTGATCAGGTCCCTGAAGCTACCACTCAAGGGATTAGGACGCAAAAGGTGGGAGATTGGACCAATTCAATTAGGACACAACTGGACCAGTCCAATTAGGATGCAAAAGGTGGTCAGATGTATGTTGCAGGATCCCCTGCTAAACCCATTGTCATTACAACCTGAGACTGACTGAATATGAGGCTTATTCTCAATTATGCACCTTTGCTAATTTCATCCCAATTTATTTATTATTTATTGGCCATGCTGCACAGCTTGCATGATCTTAGTTACCCAACCAGGGATGTGAAAGGACTGCATTCTTACCACTGGACTGCCAAGAAACTCCCTTCTTCCCCAATATTAAAAAGACTTCTGTACAATATTGCTTCATTCAGGACAATTTATCTTTTTACCTGGGAGAAACTTATTTCCATTAGAATTGGAATGCTGGGTACATATATTGCATTGAAAATGTTTCATGTGATTAAACCCAGAAAGAAACATTATTACTTCAAGAAACATTATTACTTCTGTTTTTTAGGAATATGCTCTTCCAACTGATTCTTCTTTTATGCCTGGAACAATGCCTTTCATTTGGAGACAAGTTAGGGAGCTCTCTCTGATAACATGGCAAACAGCTGGCCATAACTAGCAGCCAAGTCATGGTTACTGGGCTTAGGGGAAGAGCAGACATGTACCCTCCCCACCATGGAATGTTCTGGACAACACTAGCTACTCAGCAGTATGCCCTCTGTAGTCACACATGCCCAGTGAACTGACTGACCTCTCTTCTTGCCCCCTTTCCCACCCTCCTTACCCCTTCCCCACTGTGGTTTGTATTTTCATTGGGCTTTTTTTTTCCCCTTTCTCTTTCTTTACAGAGCTATTAAGAATGGCAAAGGATTGCATAGCAAGAAGGAAGTGCCTATCCACCGGGTCGCAGACATATCTGGGGTGAGTTGTGTCGTTGAATGGAGCCATGTGACTTCGAGGCGCCAAGATCTTGGCTGCTGCTTCACTGAAGGGCCTCCGCTTATGTGTTTTCTGTAGCCATTTGTTTTCAGGCGCTGAATGTGAGTTTTTCCACAGCTTCTGCTAATGCCTCTGTAGAGATCCTGTTTTATTCTTTGGGAAAACAGAATTTAAACCAGGGCATAAAACCTCCCAGCTCTCCACCTGAATTTTTACTGAGTTGCTTTTCCATTTTCTTATGATCATGAGTTAGAAGATATTTCTCTTGAGCTGTGTTAAAATGAAATTATCTTAAATAAAAAAATTCCCTGTTTAATTCTGTGGCTGCAAAGTCTTAGTGGAAAAAAAAGTCAAATATAGATTTTCGGACAAGTTTAGGAATTAATCCTAATGAATGAGGCTGGAAGGGTGTGAGCATCCTTTGAGCTAACAGATCTACTAGATGATAGAAAAGAAGAGGTGATGTAGATACTTTTGAGCTGCCTAAAGGCTGTGTCCAAATGACTATTTGTGACTAAGATGTTAACTTGCATATTTAGGAGCTTCTGTGTCTGAATTAGATACCTTTGTTAGTTGAGACGGTTTATTCATTTATTCAGCAGGTGCTTACGGTGTCTGGAACTGTTCTCAACAGTGAGGATATAACCATGAACAGGACAGATAAAGACAGATAAGGTCCCTACATGCAAGCACTAAAGAGAGACAACAGTGGTGCCGGGGGGCGACCGCTTGGAAGAGACATAGAGCAGCCCAAGGCGGTAGTGAGGGCTGAGTTTGATTTTGTTCAGGGGGCCAGGGAAGACCTGTTGGCTATCTGTTTCGCCCTCTGTTCCTGGGACACACGTCCAGTTCTGCTGCCATGGTCACTAGGGGCAAGGAGGGCTCCAGGCCCTGTGTAGAGAGAGCGCAGAGCCCAGGGGACAGGACAAGGAGGAGCGTGTCAGCCTCCGCTTGGACGGCTTGCCCTGGGCACCAACAAGAAAATACTGTTGTAAACCGAAGCTCGGCTGAGCCCACAGCAGTGACGAGTTCCAGTGTATCTTGTTCTGTTGTGTTCCCAGGCCTGACTCAGGCTCTACCGTGGTTCCTGGTGATGGTTTCTAAGCCCATCTGGCCAGCTCTCTATTGCCTGAGTGTGGTGTTAGCCTGTGGCCTTCAGTCACTGGGATTCTGCTCAACTTTCCCTCTCCGTAGCAGTCACTGCATACTACAGATTGTACAGTGTGGCCTATATTAATTGGACTTCAATCAAGATATCATGCCACTGTTTATCAAGTGAGGTACACTGCTGTGTGTCCCTCATAGCTGAAGTCTGGCTTTTGAGCTGCAAGTGACTATGTTGTATCTATTGAGGCTCATGTTTCACAGGTGATTTTCCCTGCAAGCTGGTATCAGACCAATTTTCTCTCTTGTCTACCATGCTGAGTAATTGTTCATGTATGTATTAATTTCTGTCTGTATCTGCTGTGGCATTCTCAGCCATATTTCTTTTAATATCATTCTTTTGGTCAAATCAAAGGTTAATTTTTGTTTTGATTTTTTTATATGCAGGGGGGAAGTTGTAAGGTACCTATTTTGGAAAACATAGTGGTAGTGCTGTCTCCTACACTGAGAGCAGATATGCCCACTCCAAAGCCCTTTGTCCAGCCCACACTCTGGGGCCATCCAGAAGCTGAATTGAGCCTTGGGATGGTGCTCTGTTTTGGCCTGCGGGGTTCGTGTTCACGCTTAGATTTCCCACTGGGATCGAGGTGAGGCCCTTGATGGGTTTTTGAGGCAGAGTTACACTTGTTTTGGGATTATCCTCTTGGCATCCCCAGCGAAGTGTCGTAGTGATCTCTGATGCTATCTTTGAATCTCATGCTGCCTCCCACCTTGACGTGTTTCCTTTGTGTGTGTTTTGTGTTTTGGTAGCCATGAATCTTAGGAAACTTGCCTTCATGATCCCCCCCTAAACTGTAGTTCATACATACCTTTATTCTCTTTTCTGCCTAGATATTGGAGAATTGGTTTGCTGTTACATTACTCAAAAATAAATGCAAGTCAAACTCCTCCACTTACCAATAAATAAAAGAGAATAGCTGGATCACGTGGGAGAGTGAAAGTGAAAAAGCTGTTCAATTCAATAGATGTCAGAATGACCTTGTCCACCTTCATCACACATTATTCAGTTTAGATTAAAGGTTTTTTTGGTGCCCTCTTTAACAGAAGAGTTTTGTCTCCCTTTTCTAACCTTCCGTTCTTGCTGTCACGGTATCATGTTCAGTATGTGTGTGTTGAATTCTCTTGAGCTATTTAAGTGTGATGTATGGGTCTCCAGTTTCCTGAAGTGTTCTGGCGATGTTACTGAGGGACCTGTGGTCAGGTGGGGTCAGTCAGGTTAACTAACCTGGTCAGTTAGTTCACCAGCTTTACATCCAGGTGAACTAACAAACATTGGAATAAAGGTCATCTAATACAAACATGTGTAATGGTTTCATTAAAGTTTGTAAAAAAAAATTTTTAATCTTTGTGTAGCTCCCTCCCCTCATTGGCCACCCTCTCAGTTGCAGGCTGTGGTAAATGGCAGTGTTCATTGAGCCAACAGTATATGCCATATGCCACCATGATATTGACTGTGAACTGATACTCGTGCATGACCTCTCACCCCACCCCAGGACACATCCTTGGAGGAGAAGAAGACATATGCTCTTAATATTTTGTTTTCTAAACACACTCAAGTAATATGCTCTGTGGAGGTGGTTATATATCATGATTGGAAGACAGATAACCCATAAACTTGTTCTAGTCTTAATGGCCTCCCACTCTTAGAGATGGGTTTCTACCCATTGTTCCTATATCTTCTCTTCTGTTTTGTAAAAACGATTTCAACGGGTCAGGGTTGGAGTGCCCGAAGATGCCTCCTGTGGAGAGTTAGCAAGTGCAAGACCTGCTGGGCTGCCTCCCTGCTGTGGGGAGTTAAGTAGCCAGGTGTAGGAGTGAGTGGCTGACTCTCTGCTTGGGCAGGGGAGATGTTGGCCTCACCCTGTGGTGCTGAAGCAAGCAGGCCATTTCATGTGCAACCATCAGCTCTCCCCGGGACTGGACTGGACTGATCAATGCTGGCTACCAAACATGCTTTCTTACTTGGAGTTCTCTTGTCCCCAGTTGAGCTCTTACATGAGAGCTCATTACAGGTTTTTTTTTTTACTTTTCAAGAATGTTACAATGGCTCCCCAGTGTTTAGGTTGTGTTGGGTTTTGATTTTTGTTAATGTAGATGATTTTTGACATCAGTGTCAACGGAATGTGGTGTTTTTCATAAGGTTCATGGCATCTATAATGCCAGATGCATGAACCTACCTTTTGACTGGTGCTAGGATAAACTTGACTTCTGCATCTCTGTTCCTGTTTTTCAGGGTATCCACTAAGGGAAAGAAAAAAATAATCTGAGAGTTTGGGTCCTGAAACAGTTGCTGGTTTCCTTTATTTCTGATTTTTGAAAGGTGAAGGAAATAGGCTATGACAAGCACCTGTCACCGTGGTCCTTGCTCCCCTTGTCCATTTCCCCTCCAGGCCAGGACGGTTCTATGAGCATGAAACCCACTGAGAATCTGATCGACTTGGTGCTAGATCTGATTGCATTTGGAGAGTGGTTCTGTGGCGACTGCTTCCCTTCTTTCAACCCTGTTTTCATTATTCGTGCCTTTTCTTTCTCCCTGATCCTGTCTCCACTCCCCACCTCTCCGACACACAAAAAGTCAGAATGCGAGTTAGTGGAATGTAAGGCTGTTGCTTATCTCCGGGTTATTACTGTTCTTGCTGTAGCCTGCTCTGTAATAAATACAATCTCCCGCAGATGTAACGTGCAAAATAGGCAATAAAATGTGGCTGGTGCGTGGCTTACTGTTGTTCTGGTAAATCAGACAAATCAATTATAGTTCTGAGGTAGGAGAGAGCTCCCCGCTCCTCAGGTTGCAGCCCACGGTGCACCGGTTTCTTCCTCTGCCTCCCTCACTGGCAGTGGGTGAGTCCTAGTGTCCACTGGACTGTCCCTCTGTTCACTGTTGTGTGTCCTTTCCTCTCGGGTGCGTGTGGAGTTATGTGTGTTTGTTGACAACACCACGAGAGACTAGAGCCTCGTCCAACATCCTGTCCACTCCAGCCACATTTCTAACAGCCCCGGAACGGGTCCGATTACTAGGATGAGCCAGTCCACCTCCTGAATGTCTTCTGCCTTTCCGTGGTGTGGAATCCTGACAACTCGGAAGCAGATTTTGCTGTTATTTATTCTGTTCTTCTGTCCTTTCTTGTATTCCCACAGGGCTCACTTCAAAATTGTCTTCTTTGCTCGCATTACATAGTCACTTCCTAGTAACCTCCTCTGTCCATGACTGGTTTTTGTTGGAAATGCATACTATTACTAATACGAATGTGCTGAACTATGGCCTGGCATAGTCCAAAGACTGGCTCTGGGGGTGGGAAGTAGATGGGGTGGGGCGATGTTAGGTTTTCGGGTCCTTATTTCTCCATTAAATTGTGAAGTAAAGGCCTGCAGAGTTAGCCAGTGAGGGTCTCACATGTAAATACAGAGGATGGAAGTACTCCTTGAGAATAAATAACCAGGTAGGATGTTAAGCATGTCCTCCTGACCTCTGCCTCCAGGTTCTGGGCTTTCAGCGCCTTTTTCAGCTTGAGTAGCCCTGTTGTCTTGTCCTCAGGGTATTGGCAGCAGCCTTTCCCGTGGAGACTTATGAGCCGTTATAGAAGTTGTCTTTTTTTTAGCTCCCAGTGGAGTTGGCCTCAGTGTAAGAGTTTTAAAGTATTTTTGGCCAAAGAGATTTAAAATGTGGTTTGTCCAGCAAGTCTGGGGAAGTTGTACAGTCACATGGGGGCTTTATAACTTAGGTCTGTGTTAACCTGCAGTTTCCCCTGTGTGTATTCCGACTTGTTTAGATTGCTGACTCCTGCTTCTGTGACTCTAAGGTTCTGCTCAGCTTCTCA